GTACGTTAAGCTGGAACTGTCGTGGCTTGGGCAATCCACAGACAGTTCGTGAACTTGAGGATGTAGTGTCCCGAAAGAAGCCTGACTTTGTATTTTTAATGGAGACTAAAGTACGGAGGGATCATGCGGAACGTGTTCGAGTAAAGCTAGGGTTTGAGGGTTTGTTCTATGTTGACCCGGGTGGTCAACGTGGCTTAAGTGGTGGCATGGCATTAATGTGGCGCCGAAACAGCACAGCAAGACTAATAACTTATTCGAAGAACTATATTGATATTGAGGTTAATATGATTGGTTTTCCACACTGGAGAATGACTTGTTATTATGGATTTCCAGAGAGGAACAGGCGCGGGGAGGCATGGAATCTCATTAAATCTTTAAAGTCACAATCTGACCTGCCATGGGTTATGATTGGTGACTTCAATGAGCTTCTATTCCAATATGAAAAGAGGGGGGGTAATCCACATCCGAATTACCTCCTGCGTGGTTTTGGAGAAGTTTTGGACTTCTGTGAATTGGCCCAGCTACCGATGAGTGGATATCAATTTACATGGGAGAAAGGAAAGGGTACAGCGAGATGGATAGAAGAAAAGTTGGATAAAGTGCTGGCAACGAATGTGTGGAGCGATGTAGTTCCGGGGGCTAATGTGGCAAATCTATTAATGAGACAATCAGACCACTCCGCCATCTTCCTTGGAATTCATGATCCATTAGGAAGACGGGGGACATACAGACGGCAATTCAGGTTTGAAATGGCATGGTTGTACGATGAGGGATGCAGACATGTAGTAAAGGAGTCATGGAATGAAAAGAGGGGTAATGGGTTACAAGATTGTATTACACACTGTGGCAATCGTTTGGCTAAGTGGGGGGGAGACAGGTATCATAAATTTGGTGAGCGGATAAAGGCTCTCCGGAGGGAGCAGCTAAAACTCAGGGGACGAATGGATATAAACTCATTAACTGAATTCCAGCGCCTGGAGGTGGAATTGAGTAATTTGGAGGCCCAGGAGGATGCGTATTGGAGACAACGTGCAAAACAGCATTGGCTCAAGAATGCGGATGCCAACACTAAATTCTATCACAGGTATGCCTCTCACCGGAAAAAGAAAAATTCATTATCTCGTATTATGAATAATTCAGGGGATTGGGTAGAGGGGGATGATATGAAGAGTGTGGTTATGGATTATTTTAGCAATGTGTTTAGCTCTAGTAATCCTATGTCTGGCCATGAGCTGTTTGAAAGGGTAGTACCAAAGGTTTCACATGAACATAATGAGACGCTGTTACGACCTTTTACGAGTGATGAGGTTAGGGCGGCATTATTTTCAATGTTCCCAGATAAAGCACCAGGCCCAGATGGAATGAACCCAGGCTTCTATCAGCATTTCTGGGATATTGTGGGGGGTGACATGGCTACTTTTATTGTGGATTGTTTGAATGCGCGTATGATCCCACCTGCATTGAATGAAACGAATGTTGTGTTAATTCCAAAGAAAAATGCCCCTGAACTAGTATCTGATCTACGGCCAATAGCCCTAAGTAATGTTGTATACAGAGTAATGGCCAAAATGATTACACAGAGAATGAAACCCCTGATGGAAGGTATCATTTCGGACTCACAGAGTGCGTTTATTCCTAATCGGCTAATTACTGATAATATTTTGATAGCGGCTGAAGTGGGACATTTCCTGAATAGAAAACAGTGTGGTATTAGTGGATGGGGAGCTCTAAAACTAGATATGGCTAAGGCATATGATCGCATGGAATGGCCATTTTTGAAAGGGATGCTAAAAGCCCTAGGCTTTGATGAGAAGTGGATTGATTTGATCATGATGTGTGTTACTACTGTCTCCTACAGATTTCTGGTAAATGAATCTCCAACAGAGGCCATACTGCCCACTCGTGGTCTAAGACAGGGTGACCCCTTATCACCATATTTATTTATTATTTGTGCGGAAGGCCTTTCTCTATTATTACAACAGGCACAGGTTAATGGATTGATTCATGGCTGTAGGGTGGCACGTGCAGCGCCTCCTGTCTCCCATTTGTTTTTTGCTGATGATAGTTTACTATTTTTTAAGGCAAATGTACAGGAGGCAACTGAAGTTAAGAATATTTTGGTTGTTTATGAGAAATTATCTGGGCAAATGGTCAATTATCAGAAATCTAGTATTTGCTATAGTAGGAATACTAGCGAAGTGGACAGGAATATAGTGGCACAGACCCTTGGAGTGGTTCAGGCGCCGAATTTTGGAAAGTATTTGGGGTTGCCAGCGTTTGTTGGAAGAAATAAGAAAATAGCCTTCGCCTATATTGAAGACAAGATTAAGCAGAGAATAGGCTCATGGAATAAAAAGCTCCTAACGCAAGCTGGGAAAGAGATATTGTTGAAAAGTGTAGCCCAGGCAATGCCTACGTTTTCAATGAGTGTATTTTTGTTGCCGGTATCTGTTTGCTCTGCTATTGAACGCACAATGAACCGATATTGGTGGGGATCTGGGACAGACCGTGGTATTCATTGGAAATCCTGGGATAAGCTATGTATCCCAAAGAAATATGGAGGTTTGGGATTTAAAGATTTAAGAGCATTTAATTTGGCTATGTTAGGTAAGCAAGCATGGAAGTTTCTTACCAATCCTGACTCCTTGGTAGCCCGCATTTATAAGGCCAGATATTATCATGACCGCCCGTTTAACGAAGCATGCTTAGGAAATAATCCTAGCTATTGTTGGAGGAGCATTATAGCAGCCAAAGATTTGATAGTTGGAGGAGTGAGGCGTCGTATTGGGAATGGAAATTCTACGCATATATGGAAGGATCCCTGGTTACAGGACGAACTGGAACCTATGATCCAGACAGAAATGCCGACACAATTAATGGATGCAAGGGTATCCGGTTTAATTGATCAGACAACTGGTACATGGGACCCATATATTTTAGCTGATATTTTTGATCCCAGTGATGTGCCAAGAATATTAAAAATACCTGTCTCCCCGGAATATGATGATGAGTGGTATTGGTATGATGACCCCAATGGATGCTACTCAGTTAAGAATGGATACAGGCATGTCGTGGGCGTTTATGAGAATACCCCGGGGTTTGATAAATGGGATACTATATGGAAGCTACAAATACCACCTAAATGGAGGATGTTTTTGTGGAGAGCTATAAGTAATATCCTCCCTACAACAAACAACTTGCTTATAAAGAGAGTGGATGTTGATCCAATATGTGCCATGTGTGGATTAATCAATGAAGATGTTATGCATTCATTAGTGTTGTGTGATTATGCAAAGTCCATTTGGAACCAATCTGGCCTTCCATTACCCCATGTTACCACAAATAGTTTTCATGAATGGTTTAGGACAATTATAAATGTTCTAGACTCTAATGAAATGTTATTTGCAGCTGGGCTTCTATACAATATCTGGAGAGCACGGAACGGAGCGGTATGGGATGCAAGCCTACAATTACCAAAGAAGGTTGTGTTGGCAACTCAAGCTATGAAGAATACGTGGCAAGCATTACACACAAAACTCCATCCATGTCACGCTACATTGCAGCAGTCCGAAAACAATTATGCCGTGACCCATGCAACAACGCCACTGCCGAACTCCCTTACTGCTATTCAACATGCAATGCCGCCGCCCACCACGTCAAATGCCCAACTGCATCCTTTGTCCCAAGGCTGCCACGTATATCCGAAGAATGCTATATAGATGCAGGGTACAAGGCCGATTTGATGATAGCCACAGCTGGTGTCCTATTGCTAGACCATGTTGGAATTTATGTATCGGCCTACTCCGTGCCACCACAAGCTTGTTTCTCACCTCTTATGGCCGAGGCCCTAGCATGTAAAGAAGCACTATCATGGCTCAAACACCGCGGAGAAGAATCAGCTCGCATCTACACGGATTGTCAGACATTACGGACCTATCTCGAGTCCTCTATCCAGCCACGGTCTTATCTTGGCTATGTCCTTGATGAGTGCAGACAATTAATTACTACTTTTAATTCCTTGTCAATTACGTTTATTCCTAGATCACAGAATGCTATGGCTCATGATTTAGCATCAGATGCCTTTAATTATTCTATACCTATGTACTGGGATGGGATCCCACCAGACACTATTTCGATTCATATATAAATGCAACCATATTGGTTTTTTCAAAAAAAAAAAAAAAAATAAGGCTCAATTTTTTATGCAAAATCTTTCCTAAAAGATTAATAATATGTTAATGATTCTTTTTCTTATACTGCTTATTGATTCTTTTCCATTTTTCAAAGTGTAGAAAAAAATCACATGACTAACATTTTCTTCCATTCATTTCTATTTTTCCATATTATTATTAATATCCTTCACAATATTATTCTATATTGTTTTGGCGTACGGCTTCCTTCCATTCATTTCTATTTTTTCATATTATTATTAATTGTTTAGGCGGGAACTTGTAAATGAGGATATTGTTTTTATTAATTAATATAGAATATAGATTACCAATTAAAATTAAAGTTTTTATTATAATTGAACAATAATATTACCAATTATTATTTGAAGATTTTGTAAAACAGTAAGTAAAATTGTATTACGGATATGAAAATATATGTACTTTAATTTAAATTTAAATTATTAATAATTAATTCTATTTTATTTTTTAACAAAATCTTCCTTAAAGATTAATAGTAAAATAAAGCTAAATTATTAATTATAACATTTGTTTTCTTCCAATATTTAAATACATTACCATAAAATTACCATAATAATAACACAAAAGAAGAAAAGAAAAATTATGAGAATAATCTATATCTATATATAATTAAAAGTAAAATCCTCCTAACCAAGTTTATCCCCAAAACTTAGGGGCATATATATATATATATATATATATATATATATATATATATATATATATATATATAAATTGCATATTTACCATATATGCATATTTTGTGTCTATATAGTATAATTTTTGGTATCAAACATTTGAATGGTAATAAAC